ACCAGCGAATTGTTGGGGAAACCTAACAAATTGTGGGGGAGTGACCTGCGATGGACTAGCATCCCATCCAGGGGGAGTAGAAATACTCCTAGCCGCTTGATGCTACAGAAACCGGGATAAGCTTCGGCAACTATGAGCCAGTCGGTTCCAAGGCTTCACTTGATTATTACCTATCTCGCACCCCCAACATCTCAAACTTTTTCTTGTTTCTCTAAGAGTTTGACAAGGTATGAGTTGACTGTACTATTGACTAACACTATAAAGATAGGAATTAGCCCCAACATCTGGAACTAACGTTAAGAGGGGTTACTGGGCCATTAATGGGTCTCCCAAAATTTTCATTGCATTTCACAGGTCTCACAGTCTTTCTTTTTTAGTGGTTATGTGCCTCTCACAGTCAAGATTTTTTCACAAAGCATCTCACCTTCTCGATTTTTAGCAAGGCTAAGAAAGTCTCAGCGTACCAGTTTTGTTTTTTATTTTACAAATGATGTCTGAATGTCTTGGGTTTACATTTAAAACACTTTAAAGTCTTGGTAAGGTCCAGTCTTACCTTCTTGCAAAGTCTTGCATTAACCATTCACCACCCTCATTCCCTTAAGAGTTCAAGATAGCAGGACTGTACTACTGGTTAAAAGTAATTTTATCAAGTAAAGATAGGAATTGGCAGCACATTTTAACTGCTACCATAATTGACATATTGTAACATTAATAATGTTATTGGCACTTTATCACAAAGCGTCATCATCATCATCGCCACTAAAAAGAAGCTCTTGTTCTCCTCTCCTGTATTTCCAGACAGCCCTCCTTGTGGCTTGATTACATGCCAGGTATATCAGAAAGAGATTAGCTAATAAGCTGATCCCACAGAGACTGATCACTGCCACAAACCAAACAAACAGCTTACTGAAAAGGGAAAGAGAAAATAGACAAAGTTACCATCTGATGATTGATAGTTTGGTCACAGGAACAAATCACACCAACACCTCATACAGTCCAACTCATATTAAGCAGTCACCCTTGGGGAAATGGGAGGTGGCTGGGGCTGCTTAATAGGGATTCGTCAGGAATTCACATGAGGCTTAGTACAAATACATGTCAATTTAGTTAAATACAAATAATCATTCTTGAAAGCTTATGACTACTGTTGCACAGAGTAAAGCCTATCACTGTTTTCCTGATGCAATTGTCACAAAATACCATCTCCTTTAAAAGTTACCACCACAATCTTTTTTACCATCGGGTAAATTGCTGAGTGAGCATGGAATCACATCCAGAAAATTATTATAAATGGAACTGAATGTTTTTTACCACTTGTCATTTTCTATTTGACTCTCTGTCATCCCCTTCCCAAAACAAAGCCAAACTACTATGTGTATTAAATTTTGGGTGGTTAAAAGGGGTATGTACGATAAAAAACCCTCATCAGAANACTTGTCATTTTCTATTTGACTCTCTGTCATCCCCTTCCCAAAACAAAGCCAAACTACTATGTGTATTAATTTTTGGGTGGTTAAAAGGGGTATGTACGATAAAAAACCCTCATCAGAACAACCAAAAGGTGGCTGCGGCCACTTAATAGAGGTGGCTAGTTATTGTGAGTATTTTACTGAAAAAAATTTTGGGACTTTGATGACTGGCTGCTTTTTATGAGGTGGCGTGGCAGAGGCTGACTAGCGTCCTCTAATGTTGAGTGAATAATTTGTACGACCAATTCTTTCTGATCTCTTCTACTACTTACAAAAACCACATACAACCTGGAAATGGCATCTTATCGCACAACCTGAAACTTACTTAACACATGTGTAATGTACACATTCAAGTTGTTGAAATTACCTGAATTCTTTTTCGGCCACATCTGATGCTTTTGCATTGTTGGTTTGCCTTACATTGGCCTTCAGTGAGATTACTTTCATCTTTGAATCTAACTTGCATTGCAGCCCTGAAAGAAAAAGAAAAAAATTAATATTCTTAATACACATTCTTAGATATTTTATAGTAGTAATATATTCTTAGATAGTTTAGTTTAATATTTATAACCAATTGTACGTACATTTTTACTTTGTTATTTGTTTTCTTGGCGCACCTATAAACTAGCTGGTGCATCATGTAGACTCAAGTTTACGGGACACACCATTGTTATAGCTAAGTGTGTTGTCCAAGTAAAATAAACTGTCTATATTTATGTCTATGTCTACATCTTATTCCTTTTGAATATGTTTATACCATAAACTTCTAAAAAATCAATTCTTGGCTTTCACACGAGATAACTTGTCTTGACTAAATACCAAATTCACAAAGCTGGCATTATAAGAAAAGTATGGTGGTTGGTAAGGAGAATCCATGTTTTGCACTTCAAACCAAGAGGTAAAATGCATTATTATGTTGAATTTTGCTGACTTACATCTCTGAGTAGTATTCAGCATAGTGTCGTTGTTGTCTGTGGGACACTCGCCAGTTTCTGGATCACAGTCACAGGTATTAGGACACTTGCAAATGTTTGAACAGTTCTGTCCATAAGAACCATGGAAACACCCTGTAACAATGGTAGTAGAAGCAATGAAATATATACTGACTGTATGTTATTAAAAGGTAAAGAACAAGGTTCCATGTTAAATGATGAATTCAAAATGTCAAAACCACAAAAGCTTATTTTCATTGACTGAAAGCTAAAAATAATTGCTTTAGTCACTAGTTTTGTCTCAAATTAATATGTAAGTCCACTAAAGCTATAAAAGGGATGTAAAATGAATTATGCATGTAGAAGACAGTTAATGATGTAATGGTAGATGTTTTTTAATTCTGTTGGGTATATTGAAAAAGAAAAAAACACTAAAAGCTAATAAATAAAATTGCAGTTTGCTCACACCTCCAACAATTCACTTATTACAATATCTTGCTCTTAATGCTCTTGATTCAGTGTTTTTGAAGAAGCAAAGATAGTGTTTTCACCTAAACATAACCCTCTGTTCTGTTTGACTTAAAATGCAGCAAAATGTTATGGTAACAAGCAAAATTTAATTTAATTAGTCACTTTACTTAAATTTTTGTGGCTCTGTTAGAGAACACAAACCTATAACAAGAACTAAGACTTAATGCTTACAGGCTTCCGTTATTACATGCAGTTAGTGTCAGTAGTACAAAGTCACAGTTGTATAAATGAAGAAAAACACTTACGCTGCTGACAGAATGTTCCCATCCATCCTGGAGTGCAAATACAATGTCCATCCAGTGGGTCACACACTCCACCATTCTCACAATGACACTCCCTGCTGCAGTTCAATCCAAAGAATCCCAAAGGACAAGCTGTTGCAAAGTGGAAACATGAACAATGTGATATCAAAGTCAATATTGCTGTGGTTCTCTAACTTTCAAAGTATCTGCAGAAGTTTTTCAGTTCAAGTGGAAACCTTCAAAAAGTTTATCAAACACATTCCTTTGGTGATTGAAAACAATCGGTATCAAACAGCTATGGAGAAATCTTTTTTCTCTAATTTGTTACAGAGTGACAAACAACTTTAACTTAAAGAACTAAAAAAAAGTCAACTTCAGTTGGTAAATTAATAAGCAAATTAAACCAAAGTAAACACATTTCACCAAATCTCTAAGTACAAAGTTCTTGCAAGTGAACTGCACTAAACTTTCAATTTTTCCCCTTATTTTTTGACTCCATCTTTGAAACTCACCTTCACTACAATTCTCTCCTTTCCAACCAGGAAAACACAAGCAACCATCTGTAAAAAGAGCAAAGAATTTACCAAAAAATCACTCATTCAGTTGACAAAATATTGCCATCACAATCTTCTATTATACAAGTTGCCCCCTTCTAAAAATGTTAATGAAACCCCTTCTTACACCAGACAAGCTTTTACATATGTCTCACCTTCTGCAGAGCATTGTCCATTTGAAGAGCAATTATGCTGTTGACATTTTAAAACATCGCAAGAATCTCCTGTCCAGTGACTGTCACAGAGACATTGGCCCATCACACACTGTCCATGACCATTACAATCCTTAGACACACAGTCAGGTTCATGAGCACACACAATTGTGGACACATCTCTTGAGCATGTGAACTCCCCACTGAAAACAACAAGAGAGAACAGTGACAAATAATCTCCAGTATTTGCATTTACAATGATTCATTCTTAACCGGTTACTACAGTGAGTACAGTACCCAAGAACTTGATCTAAAAATTTGTAAATTTCTAATTTCTCAAATACAAGCTACCTAACTACAGCAGCTTCAATTATATTGCGATGAGGTATTGAAGAACTGACTCACCATTCGTCAGATGGGTAGTTAATAACAGTGTTATTTACTACCATTGTTGCTGAACCTCCACCATCAAGGTTAATAGCATTCACTAAGCCAAGCTTCAACAGGAAGTTGGCAAAATTGTAAAGATCAATCCTTTGAACCAGTGAAAATAAAGGCAGACAAATCAGTTAATGCTATTATGAAATACTACTAAAAATGATCTCACAAATAAAATTGCTTTTCCATGTATTTTGCCATGGCTCTAATGGGTACAGTGGAAGCCCTCATAAGTGGACACCCTTGGGACGGGAAAAAGCTGTCCGTAGCTAGAGCTGACTGCTTACGAGAATACCGTAAATCTTCGAATTAGTGCCTGGGGCACTTATTTCAAATTTAGGAGTAGACGGGGGGCGCTTATTCGAGGGGGGGGGGGCTTATTTAATTTTTCCCAAATCGTGCCCTG